ATACAACCATTTTAAGGTTTATTTGTGTCAAAGCGGCAGCAGGAGCAAAGCCATAAACAGTGAGGAGGGAGCTGCGACCCCTACAAGATGATCAGAATTTTTCTGGCCAATCAGAGGCGTTGATATTAAAGTTATTTTACTGATTTATTACTTGTCTGTAACACTAAAACACAATGCAAAGGTGGGAAATACAGATTTTGAATGTGTTTTATCAAAAAAAAAAGTGTTTTAATAAGGATAGCCCCCTTTTAAGTAACGCGTTAACTATCGACATTTTAGTGATGTAACGCAGTGTCTGTTGATCTGCCGCAACGTTGCTTTTTATTTACCACAGTCAGCTGTGACCACACATCTGCTGACGCTTGTAGATCAGTCACGAATTGCGCTCAGTTCTCATGTGAAGCAAGAGCTCGCTAGTGGTGGCGCTGCTCAATGCTGAGATCTGTCTGTCTCCTAGGTGCAGTAATTGAGTAAACTATTGTTAATCATGTGTCTCCTTTGCATTTAAACACTTTGTTTTGTGTGTTGGGGATTTTTCATTATATGTGTATATGATTTCCAAACAGCTGGAGCAATAGTGGTGTATAAACAAATTACAAAATGAGTGAGTACAAAGACTGAAGAATAAAGAGATGAACTCAGAAATTGGCCGGCGTGAGATGCATCGGCTGTTTTTTGGATCATTGCTTTGGCTCGCCGTTCAAAACAAAATGAGCTCTGATGCTCGACACAGCTTACCCCTTCTGTGCAGATATTAAGTTGCTTTAAAGCCAGCTTCAATTTGGAATTTGGTTTTGTAATGCTTCTTTCTTAATTTGCTATACATAACCACCATTTCCTCCTAGGAGGGTGGTAATTTTACTATTTACAATACATTCACTTATCTTTCGCAGTTTTTAAAATGTTTGTTTTGCATGATTTGTCTTATTTGTATGTAAATGCAGTAGTGATGCACCGATATATGTCGGCCGATTTTGATATTTGCCAATATCAATAGGTGTTTTAGGAAAAAAAATCTGAGATAAAATTTTAAAAGGTTAGAGGGCTACCATAAAAACATATGTAACCACATTTTAACACTTATAAAGCATGCCAGTATTCATGGCAGGGTTTTCCATCCTATGCTGCCTTTGCGCCACTGACACCGTCGCGTCTCACAAGATTCCTTAAAGTGATAGTCTGGAACTCTAAATTATTTACAAATTTTAAGAATTGTATTAAATTGACGTCCTGGCCTTAAATGTTGATATAAAATAAGTCATTTTATGAATTCTAATATTACGGGTAAGTCCCGCTTTCCCTTCTCTTAGCTATAGCTCAAAATCCACGATGCCGTCCACTTTAACCAATCAAGTGATGCGAAGAGCTGTCAATCATCGGCGCTCATGCTCGTACTGTAGCTGCGTGCATGCTCAGTTGTTTGTTTTTACGGAGCCTCCGAATCAAGCCTCCATTAGGCTCTGGAACTACATGAAAACTGAACAAAGAATTCTGAACATCTGCGCTGAGTGACCCATTTATATACTGAACCTATATCCATAATCAGATCCTCTGCAGAAGTGTCCTTTAATGTTCAATTAATGATAATAGCTACTTCCGGGTTTACCGTGATCGCTTTTTTCATGAATTAAAACATTATTTTGTCATGAAAACGTTAACAGATCATTTTGAAAACCTCAGTGCATGTGTGTCAATAATGTATATAATGTGTTCTCCGATTAACATTTAAATGTGTTGCTTGATTGTTACGGAAAAGTAGGCATAGACCAAGCAGAAGGAAGGGGGAGGGAGCTTGGGTCGTTTTTTTCAAATCATGTATCTCTCTCTTTTTTTCTAACAAACTCCAGACAATCACTTTAAATTCTCCACTTGATACAGGCAGGTGCCACAACTGTACCCGCCACAGAAAAAGAGCATTTTGACTCTGAATCAGTGAATAATTAAGTTGTTCTTAATCGGGAGATTTATTTTCATATCCCTCGGAGGACTTTCGCGCCGCTGCGTGACCTTAGCTGCCACCCAGCAATACGCACGGCCGAATCCCCCCTCCCCTTCCTGACACTGCAAATAGGTGAATACACATTAGTTGTGGGTATCGAGCCAATTTCACTCATTAGTCCGATGCTGATAGGTTAAAAAAAATGATGAACATCGGCCGATATACATTTTTATACTGATGTATTGTGCACCCCTGATTACAGTATTTCTTTCTCCACTTAAGAACAGATAATGTCTTGGAAATTACATTTTTTTGTTGAGAAACTAAATCCTGTAAAATGAAAATGCAGTTATAGAAAATGTTGCACATGGAATGTCAACTTCACATTAACATGGAATGTCAACTTTACATTAACAATGTGGTCAAATAAATGAGATTTGCTCTATTTCTATTTACAATGAATGCATTAATTGGGGTAATTAATCATGGCAATTTTGCATAGAGAACTGTTTATACTAACATGCAGATACAGTGCTGTGATAACAGACTGCTACTGCAAAGTTTCAACAAACTTTTCAAATACAAAAGTTGAAGGTGAATATTCTTGTGAAACTGGAAACAATAGACCCTTGCAAAAAAAGTGTGAAAGTCATTAATGCTATTGGTAAGTGCACCTTGTCGCTTTGCAGGTGATCAGAAACTGCACGTTGGCATTTAAAGTGTTATACGAGATCTGTTCTACTCATGTTTGTTGCACCATTTCTTTCGACCATCTGGCCAACAAAATGCACTGGAACATTCGGTGCCTACAATTCTATTTTCAAAGCTGCTGCCCCGTCATGAGATAGTCTTGTGAAACTTTTTTACATTAATATTCCATTAGAAATGACCTAAACTACGAAATGACCTAAAGCACATGACATATTCATGCAAGATGTATACTGTCATATAAAATGAGCCTTATTAAAAAGTGTAATTTATTCATGTGTTAAGTGGAAAGTGGTGCACATAAATATATAAGAAGCAGATGAAATACGCACTTTTTACACATAATAAATCACTTAATCACTCCCATGTTCATACCCTGACCTTACTGGCTCCATAATCCTGATTTGTTGCCTTTTCACATCCCCAAAAAACCATAAGCAGCCTCTACACCACCCTATTTTCCTACTGGCAATAGTAAAGGCGGCGATGCAAAGGTTTTTACAAGTTCATGAACCTCTTTCCAAAGCAGTGCTCTGATTGTTCTTGAGTGTTGTGTTGACGACAGCTTCACAGACGGAAAGCGTTCATTTGGACACATTAATTTTAACGTATCTCGGCATATTACGTTTTCAGGCGCAGTATGGGAGTGTTTGACGTTATGTCCGAACAGACGTGGGTTCCAGTGCAGTGAATCTATGTAGCCTTCATAGGGCTGGGCGATATGGCAAAAAAGTAAAATCTCGATTTTATTTCCTGCTTTGGACAATTTCGATTTTAAATCGATTTTCATTAAAGTTTGCCCTTAAAAATATTTTTAGATCTTTCCGCTCAATACCAGAACCATTTTGATTTTGTTTCCCCCAATACGTATTATAAAAGTCTTGTACTGACTGTGCTGATATTGCAAGTATAATTCATGTGCTGCTGGAACTCTCACAATATCCCTCATTCGATTTCACGATTTTAAAATTTTTCACGATTTCGATTTTTTCAAAAGCCGATTAATTGCCTAAATTCGATTTATTGCCCAGCCCTAAGCCTTCATATTGTTTGCGTTCATTGCTACGAGAAATTAATCATCCATGATTGAACAACATAGTGTACTTGAGTGTGCTGTTATGTCTTGTGTGACATATCTTCCTCTCGTCCACAATCTCTGTGCAGTTTCAAGATTAATCTGAGAATCTGTTCTCAGCAATGCCATTATAAAATACAAAGCCAGGGCCTTCTTAAAATGCACCATTTTGCACAAACATCGGGAAGTGCCACTCAGTTGACAAGTTCAGCTGATGTGTACAAATCAGCCTGCCACTTAGCTGTTGCAGAAGTCATTAAATCCATCCAGGGAGCACGTAGTCACCTGCAGATTTCTTCCTCCACATCAACATCCGCGTGTGAGCTTTTTAGTCTCCCAGAATAGGACTGCGGCATGAGATGATTTTAGCTCGTTTTAAGAGGGTTGCCGTTCTTTACAATAAGCTGCAACAAGGTCATGATGGCATCAGCAGCGGGATGCTAACAGACTATCACAGCAAACCACTGATGTGATAGTGGTTTGACTGTGAACCATTTGGAGTACAGTCATTTGGAGTAATGGTATGTTGCATTACTATTTTATATTTAATTTTATCTTACTAGAATATTTTTCGCTTCTTTACTTCCTTCATTCAAACCATAGTCAACAAGGTCATGATGGCATCAGCAGCGGGATGCTAACAGACTATCACAGCAAACCACAGTCATTTGGAGTACAGTCTTATGCTAAAGAGTGCCTTCAAATGTATGAGTCAAGTGGAAGCTTTTCACTGGAAACGTCACTAATCTTTCAAAGCAAAGTCGACCATATGCACTTGTTTGGTGCATTACATTTTTGTGTGTGTGTTTGCCGGTCTCTGCTAGTCTTTGGGACTAACAAAGATGTAATTAATCAATTATTGTATAATATGACGCAGAAGCTGCCAAAGGATGTTCTTATAGAATTGTGTACATCTCACAACATTTACATGCGTCTGTTCTTTTCAATAATTGTTGATTATTGAATTGTACTAGTTGCAATTATCAATTAATTGTTACAGGCTTAGAGGAAATAGATTTAGTATATTTTAAATTGACTGTATCTCACTTTTAGTTGTAAATTATAATATTTCTACATTTATGACAACTCTCTTAATTTAGAATGTATTTGAAAACACTGACACTTTGACATTTCAAATTGTTTGCTGTAACCAATATATGAAGATTGCAATACATTGTAAATGCTACTAATTATACACACACACACACAGTATATGAACATAACGTCTCAATTCGCAGGAGATTTGCTGTATTGATGATTGATGTTTGTTTGTGTCAGGAGCCCAGTTGGAGAGTCTAATGGAGACCATGAGAGCAGAGATTGCTGCCCAGCCACCAGTGGAAGGATCTTACTCTGCACGTAGAGGCGATTATTGCCTAGCCAAGTTTGCAGATGGGGAATGGTATGTTGCATTACTATTTTATATTTAATTTTATCTTACTAGAATAATTTTCTCTTCTTTACTTCCTTCATTCAAACCATAGTCTTGTGCAATTTTTATTTTGCATGGGTTGCTACTGTTAATAACTGACAATAAATAAGGATGCAGAAAACAAATACAAAGCCACCCAGAAAAGGGGATGCTTTTTCTGACTTGCAAGAATTTTTAAAAATGTAAATAGAAGTGCAGAGTAGTAGCAGCGGCAGTACAAATTTGAAAAAATAATGAATAGAAATGTCTCTTAACCCAAAATAGCTGTATTTGGACTTTTTCCACTGATTATATATTTGTTGAATGTTCATTAGATCTGGTTAATACTCTACTCAGACATTTTACATGCACCCCTCTACTCAATACACAATATAACATTTGATTGACATCACACAATAAGATTTATAATTCAAATAATATCTGGTGTCTGCATGGAAGCGGTTATATAAAAAAGGCAGCTAATTATGTTAATATTACATTGTTCTTTCTATAGCTTTGTATTCTGTGATGTCTGCATGTTTGATTAGGGGCTAATTAGAATTGTGTTTCTTTTCAATGCCCTTTTACTGCACAAAATTAAAGTGAATAGAAAGGATGAGATTTTTTTCCCCCCATCAAGTCGCTCACACTTTGTCGCTCTTTCACACGCTATTCTCCGCCGGACCGTTTTATGTCTTCCTGTTAATCACTCGTTCAGTTTTAACTTTGTTCTCTTGTTCTTTCCCTTTGCCCATGTGGACCTAATTATTTAGCTTTTCTCCTGCCGTCCTTGGTTCTCAGCCAATTTGTCTTTCTCACTTCCAATTGTTTGTCCAAAGTGATGGTCAGATAAAGAGGCACTTTTTTTTTTCACGAATTGACTACATAAAAGGCTTCCTCTTGAGTGCTGCGTTGCATTGGTGAAGGTTAGCGTTTGTTGGCGTTGTCCATCTGTGTTCTTGATTTTGGGCATAGTAGTTTTGTCTGAAAAATGTACACTGTCCAAAGCATTGTGCCTTCAATAGACAATGTGGTGGGGGAAGGGAACTGAAATACTTATAGTATATGAGTGCGTTGACTGTATAGTGTCAATTAATGTATCTGGACTTTAAAAGGGTATACATCAAAAACTAAAATTTTGATTGGAAAAAAATATTTCAAACGCAGACATATCGAAGAGATGGTGTGGATCAAATCAAAAGGAAAGATTTACAAATACTATCGATTTAAAAGGAATCATCAAAAAACAATAAATGTAAATGACCCTTGAAAAATGTGTAACGGACCCGACGTGATGGTTTTCTCTAAAAATTAAACACTAGGGAAAAAAAAGTCTGCTTTCACATTTAATTGGTTTACTATATGAAAGTAATCACTTAGATTTTTTCATGTTTTCACATAGTAGAAAAACTATCAAATGTGGATCTGAAAATATGTAACAAACTTCCGCAAAGCTCATGTCGTCAAATCATCACATCTGTTACATAAAATAATCAGAGCTGCTATAGGAAACTTGACTAATGTATAAAACAGTTATGTTCTAGAAACTTCTAATGAACAGACCGAGGTATTCGGATACATGAAAAACATAACATATCTTCTGATTATTAATCTAATTTTTGGCCTTTAGTCACACTTTTGTACCTTTTAATGTGAACAAGCCCATATAGTATATGGTAACACCAGCTACGCTATCTATAATATCCGATCAAATTGGTATCACGGTATGCCCTTAATACTTATGTTTTACTTCATATAAACACATTCAAAAATTGCTGGCCTTTATTGCAATGAACCTCTGTACACATTGAAGTCTCCACTGGCGAATCGCACAGAGACGGTGTGCCCCTCTACTCTCCGTTCAGCGCCTGACACTGCTTTCCCCCGATCACAACAGACACATCGTCCAACAGCCACTCCCCAGGGAAATAACCCTGGAATCATTTACTCATCTTCCTGTGCGTCTATCTCTCCTCTCACTATCCCTTTCTATCCATCTATCCACATCACTCTTTCAGTCTCTCTCTTCCTCCTTGTATCTCTCCTTATCTGTCTATGTGTGCCTACCCCTTGATTCAATTATTCTGGCATCCTCTCAGGTATCGGGCTCGAGTGGAGAAAGTTGAGTCGCCTTCAAAGGTCCACATCTTCTACATTGACTATGGCAATGTGAGTATGCTATGTAACAATTACGCATTGTTTTATGTAACTGAATACCAGACTTTACACCAATTTACACCTGTAGTCCCTGAACTACGGAGAACGGCTTGTATTTTGTCTGTGGGAAACTTCCCATGATCCAGTGGAGTGGAGCTGAATGTGACTGACCTTAAATGGTCGTGGCTGAGTCTTGGCAGGCTGACACAATTGTTTTGGCATGTTCCACAAAGTGTGATTCTCTGTGTGTGATCACCCTGGCACACTCTATAACAGAGATATGGGCCCCTTCTGTTATCATTGTTTAATGAATGTATACAAATTTGAACCATTGGTACACATAGTTAACCCACATTCATTATAAAGACCACATATTTATAGCCTGGTCGTACCACACCATAGTACAAATTACATTTCATACTAAGGTCTGGAGGTGCTCCACTGAGCTCCGTCTACAGGTGGGAGGGGTTAACTCCTTTTGCAGATTGAAACGATTGGATCTGAGTTTACCGTGACGTATGTAGTGCGCCCGAGTGAGTGGTTAGCATTTAGCCTAGTCATCTCCTTTGTCGCTAACAGAGCCCGTGGGGAGTAGCGCCACAATTTATTCTAGCGATTACATTTGCTAAACATTCCTATTGCTCCGGCTTCAATTTCTTGATAGAACCAGACCTGAATACTTTACTATCGCATGTTTCGCCATTGCCAAACCACGACCTTCCCGTTCGACGCAAACTCCACAACTAACTACAACACCTGCCTTCGGCGCTCGCTGGTAGGTCGGTCGAAATTCAACCGATTGTAATCGCTAACCCAGGGATCAGACCCAGACGTCACATGCAGTGAAATGATGATTTAGCGGAGTGTACGGATGGCTAAGGCCAGGCTAACATACATGTATTTACAGTTGGACTTTCAAATGATGGGAGGTAAATTGAGCTGAGCCTTTGTCGTGCCAAATTGAATTTATGCCTTTGACCCATGCCCAAAATGATAAACCCCTTAAAGGCTGTGTTATTTAAAAAAATAATAATAATTATACTATTCTAGGGAACCCCTGGCCTAAACTGCATACTCCTCTCATTGTAACCTCAGCTATGAGAAAAATGTCATGTGAAACAGACAAAAGTTGGATCCCTGAAACTCTCAACCCTAAAAGAGATGAAGGAATTCTAAAATCAAAAACAATATCAATTAAAATGAAAATATAGTATATAGGAATCATTAAGAGAAAGGTTTGTGAGAAGCCAGGTCACTGTATAGAAAGTGTCTTGGATATAGGAGTTCATGTTGCAATTCGCCCTAAAGGGTTAACTCACCACAATGGTTATGAATGATAAAAAGTCGTTATGTCGCAAAAATGTTTTGTTTATACACCTCAACGATACCATTTTGTCAACTGCCACGCTTCAGGTGTAGAATATTATGTGTGAAACAGTGGTAACAATTGCATAAGTGGATAATAGGAATTGCATTTGCATCTTTACTGTTCGCAATTCGAAAAGGGGAAATTATGCCACGCCAGCAGTTTGTTTGCTTTCTTGAAAATCTGAGTTACAATCCTCATGGCCTTTGGCAGTGGCAATTTGAAATGCTGTGTCACCCATGCATCTCTTGACCGCAGTTTGACTTGTGCTTTTAAGTGCGGCGTGAAACAGATGGGGCTTTCTGAAAGCACCCGCGTACTGCTGCAGACACAGCTGGGGAATGACTTAAAGGTGATACATACACTATCGGTAGTCAGCGTTTAAACAGCACATCAGCATCTGTCTCTTCCCTGTGCGATCGTTCAGATGACATGGAGGAGTCAATATTAATGTCTGACGACGTCAGTGACAATGTCACTTTTGAAATGGTACTCTTGAATGAATGAATGAATCCTTATTTTGGTCAATTGTTTGATTAATAATCACATTCACTGACTATATTACAACCAAAAATAGGGTTGGGTTGAAGCAACTTGCTTATACATCACATACAGGTCATTAGCAACTTAAACACAACAACTATGTAAACAAAAAAAAAAGTCCTTATTACTGATTTAAAACATAAAATGCATATTTGCTAGAACCATGTATTTTTCTTCACTTTTCTTTGTTATATTTGTATTATTATTATTACTTGTAAGGCAAGGTATATGAATTAATTATTTCACATTTTAAGTTAGTTTAAAATGTTAATAATTTATTGATTAACTTTTACTCCCATGACACACACAATGTGTTGGTAGAGCACTGGCCTTCAGGCCTGAAGGTCGTGGGTTCAATTCCCACCTCCACACCTTCTCCACCGACTCCCACTGATGACTGCTGTCGTTGTGTCCTTGGGCAAGACACTTAACCCCACTTTGCCCAAAGCTCCCACTGAAAGATCAAGGCTATGCTCACACTCAGAGAGCAGCCGTCCTCCTGTGGACTCACCACCTGCAGAGGGTCAGTGAGGGGCTGGTGCTATGAGACTTGGGTGGCATCTCTGATTGCCACCCCCCTGACCCAGAAATGGATTAAAGGGTAGAAAATGGATGGATGGATGGACACACACAATGTTAGTTCTGGATTTTCTTGTTTCCAACTGAAGCAAACCTCTCAGATTATAGCAACTTTTTATTATTTTGAAGAAAGATTGAACACCTGCAGGAATATCTTTTTTCGTATCTTATTTACAACTCTGAATAAGATTTCTAGAATTTTTAACTTGACTTGTCGAAGTTGAATAGTAGAGTCACTCTTTGTCATTACATTACATCACATCAGTGAACATGCTACATTGATGCTCGCCTTGACTTTGGGTCTTTTTCTGGTTTTTTAGAGAGAGGTCGTGTCTAGCACCCGCCTGGCCGCCATGCCCGCAGCCTTCAGTACCAGGACCCTGCCCGCACAGGCCACTGAGTATGCCTTCGCCTATATCCAAGTGCCACAGGATGTAAGTATCAAACGACTTTATTCAAAACAGAAACGGTTTACTTTCTAATTCTGATAAGAGAGGGAAAAATAGCAGGCGTGATTGAGTCTTGATTTTTAAGTATGAACTCCTGCATAATGCATGTGGTTCTATGCAGATAAAAAACACGTTGAACATCTCTAGTGATGAGTTTGTGTACGCTCTGTCGTACAGAAGGTTGCTCACCCATTATCTGTGCTTAAGTTTTTTCGTGCTAACTGAAAATCTGCTTCACTGTGCGATTGAAAACCACTGTGCAAGAAAACCTGCAAACTGATGTACAGATGATGGGTGAGCAACCTTCCTTTGTTTTATCCGTAAATGCTTCTAATTGGCCATTCACAAGTTCATGACGAGTTGTTTCAAAGATAAATTTAACCTTGACACATGGACGCCATAGTAAGAGTCGGGTATACTGCAACGTGCTTTTAATAACCAAGCAACGCCTTTCTCATCCCTACAGCACCTAATCTTCTTGTTTACGTGTGTGTGTGTTTGTGTGTGTGTGTGTGTGTGCGCGTGCGGAACTTTTTTGTTGTGTGTCAGGGGGTCAACTCATTTGAAGCATGCTGATTGCTTGCAACTAAAACAGCCCAAGTGTGTCTGCGCAGCTTGTATTTTTAATCTGCGTGATCTCTGCTGACACAGAATTCAATATCTGCTTTAATTAGTTTTATCTTGGAGGCTATTGGTATCATTAAGTGCAGGTAAATGTCCCCACCATTAATTTTGATGGGGCCATTTTTGAGAGGTAATTGAATAGAATTGCCTCTAATTTAATTTAATTTTAGACATTTTATTTTTCCTCATTTTAGACAGTTAGGATAACGGTATCATCTTGAGTGCTAGGATTGTTATGCCCATTTCTTTTACATATTTTAGCTGCTCTTTTCTTGTCTTTTTTTTTGACTCATATTTGCCGCATATCAAGACCTTGGGCTCTGCATATGCAGTTTGTTTGCATGTGTTATTGGTTGTATCGAGGAGTGAGAGACAAGAGACAGTGTGTAAATCCAAAGTGCATGTGTGTGTATGCGTATGTGCTGTCTCAAGTCTGGAGTGGCCCATCTGTTAGTCGGCCTGGGGGGACACGGGCATCACCTCCACTTTAGCGCCTCAAGACACGCCAACACACAGGCTGGAAGTTTACATGCACCTGGTACTGCTACTCTTATGCCATTGACGGCTAAGATTTTGAACACTGCATACAGTGCTTTGCGAAAGTATTCGGCCCCCTTGAACTTTTCAACATTTCGCCACATTTCAGGCTTCAAACATAATGATATATAATTTTAATTTTTTGCCATGAATCAACAATAAGTGGGACACAATCGTGAAGTGGAACGAAATTTATTGGATAATTTAAACTTTTTCAACAAATAAAAAACTGAAAAGTGGGGCGTGCAATATTATTCGGCCCCTTTACTTTCAGTGCAGCAAACTCACTCCAGAAGTTCAGTGAGGATCTTTGAATGATCCAATGTTGTCCTAAATGACTGATGATGATAAATAGAATGCACCTGTGTGTAATCAAGTCTCCGTATAAATGCACCTGCTCTTTGATAGTCTCAGGGTTCTGTTTAAAGCGCAGAGAGAACCATGAAGACAAAGGAACACACCAGGCATGTCCGAGATACTGTTGTGGAGAAGTTTAAAGCCTGATTTGGATACAAAAAGATTTCCCAAGCTTTAAACATCTCAAGGAGCACTGTGCAAGCAATTATATTGAAATGGAAGGAGTATCAGACCACTGCAAATCTACCAAGACCCGGCCGTCCCTCCAAACTTTCATCTCAAACAAGAAGACTGATCAGAGATGCAGCCAAGAGGCCCATGATCACTCTGGATGAACTGCAGATAACTACAGCTGAGGTGGGAGAGTCTGTCCATAGGAGGAAGAAGGTGCTCTGGTCAGATGAAACCAAAATCGAACTTTTTGGCCACAATGCAAAACGATATGTTTGGCGTAAAAGCAACACAGCTCATCCCCCTGAACACACCATCCCCACTGTCAAACATGGTGGTGGCAGCATCATGGTTTGGGCCTGCTTTTCTTCAGCAGGGACAGGGAAGATGGCTAAAATTGATGGGAAGATGGATGGAGCCAAATACAGGACCATTCTGGAAGAAAACCTGTTGGAGTCTGCAAAAGACCTGAGACTGGGACGGAGATTTATCTTCCAACAGGACAATGATCCAAAACATAAAGCCAAATCTACAATGGAATGGTTCACAAATAGACGTATCCAGGTGTTAGAATGGCCAAGTCAAAGTCCAGACCTGAATCCAATCGAGAATCTGTGGAAAGAGCTGAAGACTGCTGTTCACAAACGCTCTCCATCCAACCTCACTGAGCTCGAGCTGTTTTGCAAGGAAGAATGGGAAAGAATTCCAGTCTCTCGATATGCAAAACTGATAGAGACATACCCCAAGCGACTTGCAGCTGTAATTGCAGCAAAAGGTGACGCTACAAAGTATTAGCGCAAGGGGGCCGAATAATATTGCACGCCCCACTTTTTAGTTTTTTTTGTTAAAAAAGTTTAAATTATCCAATACATTTCGTTCCACTTCACGATTGTGTCCCACTTGTTGTTGATTCTTGACAAAAAAAATTATGTTTATATCTTTATGTTTCAAGCCTGAAATGTGGCGAAATGTTGAAAGGTTCAAGGGGGCCGAATACTTTCGTAAGGCACTGTATAAATTACAGTATTGTACAAAATACACATAACGTGTTAAATGAGATGGTGGTCATTGTTGGAAATTGTTTCTACAAAATCACAATCAAATATCTTTTTTTATTTTTTCATGTGCCTTTATGGGATTTAGTAGCATATAAATTGCTGCTTTATGAACCTGGGTAGTTTATCTTATCCACAACAAAGCGTCATTAAAGCATCACATCGCAAATGGATGTGTGTCAGTACTGGACAGGTCTACAGGCTGTCTCTGTGGTTCTCCCCAAGGTTTAAGTAAGTAAGTACGTAAGCTTTATTTATATACCGCCTTTCACAGACCAGAGTCACAAAGCGGTTTACAATTGTTTTTTTTTTTTTGGGCATTTGTCTCTCACTCCACACAGAGATGGGAGCGGGGTCGCCGAACAGGAGGCGCATGCCAGACCTATTGTACATATTTTTAGTGGTAGGGGAAACCGGAGTACCCGGAGGAAACCTACGCAGACACAGGGAGAACATGCAAACTCCACTCAAAAACAGAGGTTTTTGTTTTTTTCACTTGCTGAAGGAGGTGGTCTCAGTACGGGGGATGCTCTGACACATTATTCACATTATTCTGATTATTTTGATTTTCCGCTACTGGAAAATCAGCAATTGCGTTAAGTCCATTGAGGTTACTCCTGTTGTGTTTTTAGGCTGTAAAAAAATAAAATAATTGAATTTGAATGTTTCCAGTGTTTGCAGCTTCTCGCCCCCCCGGGGTTCACATGCAGCGCCTCTGACAAGTGTAACCACAGGGACAGAGCAGGGGACAAAAACAGCCCTTAGGTTTGTGGCTCAAACCAGCGCTCCCTGCCCACACATACGAACACTCGCACATACACTGCAACAGACGTGTGCGCATACCCAAGGGCAGCTAGCTCGAAGGGGGTTGCTATGGAGACAAGACCAGGGTGAGGAGGAGAGATGGATGATGACCAGAGATTTTTTTATTTCTTTTTTTAAATGTCTTTCTGTCTTTGAAGATGTTACATTTTTTCTCCTTCCTGACTCTCACTTCAGGAAGATGCAAGGTCAGATTACACTTTGCTGCGCTCCATCTTCTTTTGCACTTTATTCAATCAAACTCTGGCCTTTAGAAGAAGGTTGGCTGTAGCACAGGGCGAGAAAATAAACAGCAGAATTTGAGGGGAACAATATACATGAAGGGAGAGCGTGCGTTCATTGTTTCCGGAGAACTTCAATTTTCTCGAGTGCTTTAACTCTGCTTTGATTGCCTCACAGCTGGCACGTTCTGTACAAAGAGCTGGAATCTTCCTGTTAAGAGATTGTCAATCTTTATGTCCTATTTTACATGATTAAACAATGCATATTTAAGTGGTTTACAACCACTTTCAGAACTGCAATTTCAGTCTTCTCCTTGCTGTCTATAGGACGATGCCCGGGCAGATGTGGTGGACTGCATTGTTCGCGACATCCACAACACCCAATGCCAGCTAAACGTGGAGTTCTCTGGGGTTACCTGTCCTCACGTCACAATACAGTTTGCCGACACCAAGGATGACGTGGGTCTGGGTCTGGTCAAAGAGGGAATGGTGATGGTGGATGTGCGCAAAGAGAAGCACCTGCAGAAGATGGTGAGTGGAAGTGAAAGCAATAATCTGTATATTATACAGTCCTACTCGTATTGATTTGTCTGTTGGACCATTATGGCAGCTCATTAATCAACGTGTGGCTCTGGAATAGCTGCCTTTGACATGTTTGCTTGTTTTACACTAAACACTTGCAGGCATTTGCTACTTTCGGTTTAACAGGCCATTGAGCCAAACCAAGATACTTTGCTCATAAATCATTTTGCTTCTTCTCGCCTTATTAAAATATAACCGGACCACGATTATTACAAAAGTAGAAGCCAATCCCGATTACAATGACTCATATAATTATTTCAACTTTATTTTAATATTTGATTAATTTGTTTTGCTACCTAGGCCAATTGACTGTTTCACTTAGACATATTTTCTTTTTTTTCAAGTTTATTCAATATTAGATTGGAGGTTTTTAAGTGCTCTATTGACTTGATGCACTTGTGGGCAGTGCTAAGTGGATCTACTCTTTAGATGACATGGACGTTGACTGATGGAGACCTCATTAATATGTGATGATCTATGTTTTAGCACAGACCTCTCCATTGTGCAAACAAAAGGCACATGTAAACATGTAAAGACTCTTCAAAAGAGACATTTGCTGGACTTGTTGTGAGAACAGTGAACAATTATTCTGTACACTGCAGATGAGGACAAATGAAGCAAACACATTGCCACTGCAATTATTGTTGCTGCTTACCATTGGTCACTCATGCAGCATGAGAGTGGAAAATAATTAACATTCCAAAGTACTTCATAATCAAATCTAAATTAATATTCATTTAAATTATAGGATGGGAGAAAGTCCAATTGTACTTGCACTAATTTCTCATTTGCGCTTGGCATGCTGAGGAGTTACTCATGTTTGCGGAGCACCAATCACAGCCGTCGCTGGTTGAGCAGACCATCAATAAAGCGCGGTACATCACAGTAAGAGCACTTGGACCTCTGCTCTCTGCAGCGCTGCCTGGCACAGTAGTGCATTGGCAGAGTAATGAGACCTACTGTATAGAGAACTTGGTCATTAAGTCTGTACTGAGCTAGTTGTCCAGACTCTGGCATAACCAAAACCTCAAGTTAAGTTTGAATCTTCAATTCTGACTATTTTCAATAAATCCATTAGAATGATTACTGCTCCTTTACATGCAACGCAACAAAGTATTAGGCCAGAAGACCAGGACACTTAAGAAACATTATGTTCACATCAGGGCCACTGTCATTTTGGTTTCTCATTGTTATTTAGATACTGTACAGTCTAGGAAATCTTTGTACTGTATACAGGCATGTTACACATGAGACAATTTCCATTATAGAAGATTAAGCAATGACATCCGACCCTCGATCAAACAATGCAGATCAGCTGGTAGTGATATTATAATGTAGTCATAACCCAGATGAGTCTGTCGTGTAAGAGCCTTTAGATTCTCTGATAATCATATTTATCGGTTACATAGACTTAGTCTTGTTTTTTTCTTGTAATGCATCTGCCGCTGCCGTCTTAATGGTCTTTGTCTAGATGCTTATTTGAGAAAGTATTGATATTAAAACAAATCACATAAACAGAACATTTTGTATTTGCTGAGAAGTTTAGGAAGAATTTTGATCTCTGAGCTCATTGTCTCAAAAACAATGTATTTATATTATCACTGTTGTATTGAAAATGATAAATAGCATAAATAGCTGTAAGAAGTCTATTTTGTTCTATCTTAATGTATTTGGTCAATTCAGTATCCACACTACTCTTCACTTTTGGGGCTGTGTCCACACGGGGGACAGAGATTTAAGAGTTTAGCGCTCCCAAAAGATGGTCTGATTCATAAGTTCTTTCTTGGCAAGAGGTCTGCATATTTAGATCAGGTCATAGATGTTGATCAATCAAAAGTGTAAGAAACAACGATCACAAAGCCGGTGCAAAGACCCAAGAGTTTTCCTGGTGAAGTGTTGTGCTCTTGTGTTGAGCTCCTCTCTGTTGTCTTCCACAATGTCTATCATCAGAGGGCTGTTAGAGAAATGACAGTAATTGTTGTGTTTGGGTGGCAGACAAGTAGCCTGTCAAACATTTGGTCTGACAAATTAAATATGGCAAAAAATAACAGCTTGCATTGCGAGTAGTTTTAAGCCTGCTGGGTGTAATTGGCAACTAAATATTTGGCATTGTTGAACTATGTAACAAGAAAATTCACCTCACAAAGAGACAGATGTTTTGCCTGTTTCCAAAAGTAGATCTAATATTCAGTATATCATTTGTTTGGCAACATTTTGTATTTTGCGCATTTTTTTATTATATTTGTATTATGCCTATAGGGTTTATTCTACACTAAATGCTTTTCCCAAACATCACAAAGAGAATACAGAGTGTAGAATCTAGATCTGTGACGTAAATATATGCCATTAAAGTCTAACGTCAGTATTTTGTGTTTTGAACGCAGCAGGGAAAGGGGGAGGCCGGCAGGGAGGCTGTATCACCACAGTGGCTGTCAACTCAAAGTGAACAGAGATGCAAGCACATTTCTTCATGCACGTGGCAAAATAAACACTGATGTTTTCACCATGTGCTTATGACTTAACAAGCCCCTTATGAGGAACATTTAAGATAAGAGAACCTGTATTTGTCCCATAGTGAGGACATTTGTGTGTCGCAGCGCACATACAGGACAGAATGAATAGGAAGCATAGGATAATAGCTGTAAATGCTTCTTTACAATCTTCAATGATGTTCTTCTGTGGTATAAAGCTATAATACATTCCACAAACACAAATATACTAGCCAAGGGGAGCTGTTACACAGTACACGCTCCACTGTCGCAGGTCTACCCGCGGAGGATCTGCAGCTCTGTACAAACAGGCACACGATCCGGATCTTAGCCAAATTTACACTGGGGTCCTGGAAGGATCATCTCCAGATCGGGAAAAAAGTGCATCTGTGTACAAACAGCTCCAGTGTTTAGGAGAGTGAAGTCTGGGTGGATGTGCATGTTTGTAAAGGGGTTTAGTCACAAGCTAATGCTGGGGGCACTTTAACCACACTGGGCAGCCCCACGTATAACTTCAAAAACATGTTAACCCTTGTAGTAGAATCTCAACATGAGCTCCTGACTACATGACACTTCTATACTGTGACCTGGCTTGATTTTAGTAGTCTATTTTGTCGCTATAGTCCACCCGTTTGTCACTGCATTCTGTAGGAAAGCTGGCTGTTAACACATCCTCTGTGCACTGCTGGTTTGCCTGTTTCCTGTCAGCAGAAGACAAGTACACGGAAAACAAAATTGTGCTGGCTGTCCACACGCTGCGTCTCACCCAGTCACCTCTGCTAACTGACATGAGTGCATGTCTCCTAAGTTCATTAGTGTTGTGAGCTGATAAAATGATTAAAAATGATTAAATGACTTCGCTAGTGTCTGTCATTCCTTTACCAGTCCAATTATTATCAGCCACCAACAGTGATGCTGCCTGCTGTATTGAACAAGGCCTCATTTTAGCAAGCCCTATTTAAACCAAAAAACGTCTTTACCAGCACATAACAGTGTGTGCTCGTTATTAATACTGGCATTTTTATAAAGGTAATGTTTGTGTCAGCAGAAGGCAGATTAGCAGTGTGGCTTATCTACAGCAGTGAAACAGGAGTTTTAATTACTCAACAGTAGCCTCTTGGGAACTGTAGTTTCAGTTTGCCTTTCATCTTATTGTTGTTAATGCATTCATACGGAGTCCTTGCTTTTTAATGTATGAGTGCTCAGCAGCTCTATTAAGTAGTGAATATCATTTCAGGCCTTTAAGTAGTGTAGTATCATGTATCATGTAGTGCTTTTTGCCCCTTTTTATGTAAACTACATAAAAAAGAGAAAAGAGGCCTCATGGGTAGCCATAGTTTGCTTACAGAGATTGCAGATTCCAAGTGTAGTTAATAGTGCAGCTGTCCCTTTCGCAGTAATTGAGCTAATGGGGGTGGAGATCATCAATAAAAATAAAATGGCACAATGAAGAACCTTGGTACAAATGAGGCTGCATGTGTGCAATCCATACAGGAAACCAGGAAGTGGCTCACACACATACAAAGCATGCCTCCGGGGATGCTTGTTTCATCCATCAAAGTGCGCTGCTGCTGTTTGGTCCACATTCTCTGGCTCAGGAGATGTAGTCATGTGCCTCCACACTGCTTAGCCACTGGTTCGGACACTGATGATGCGCCTCTTGGGAATCTTGTGTTACTGTTCAGTAGGTTCACAGTAACAAAATGAGGCCTTGTGGGCAAACGGGCTCTCTTATCATGTCAGCGCTGTTGTGGCTTTAAGACGAGAGCAACCATATTGTCCTCTCACAAACGCTTGGTTTTTGTGCCCGTTTTTTGTTAAAAGGCTTAAACAAACCTATAATGCTATGGATAATCTTTCTGTTGGCTCCACTCTGGCCTGGAAACTTGTAAATGTGTCATTTGGAAAAAGCTTTTAGCGTAACTGGACCACCAATCGAGCGGCTTTCAGCTCGCTGCCCTCTCTGTTCAACCCCACTGCCTGTCACGGCCCATCAGGAGCCTCGACGCCCCCGACACCGCAGGGCACATGCACGCACACACACACTCGCGCACACATCCGCACACTTAGCATCTGAATTTCAGGGGATGCAACAGCATGACCGCTTCCCACCAATGGTTCAATACCTAATTTACAAGTTTAGCTCGGGCAGGGCCTTTTTTAATGGATGTATGCTTACAGTTTTTTAACTGAGTGATTGCCAAGCATGTTTTTGCAGTATTTAACCCCTGCCTTTGAAAATAACGGTGCAGTGATGATCCTCGTTGGAAGAGCGGTCGGCAAGGCACGTTTCTTTAAACAGAACAGTTTATATACAGTATAAAGCAACTCAAAGTTCTTTACTAAAACAAAGGAAACAATACAATGATTTTACCTGAAAACAATCATCGATCCTAAACCCACAGGCTAAAAAAAGTCAATGTTTTTTCTTCTTTGAGTTTCCTAGTAGGAAAAAAATCACAATTTCAGTTTTGGTACTGTAGATGGCGATTATCGAGACCTGAACGAAAAGAGGATGCTCAGCTTGACTTTTCACCTCTACTCAATGCATAGTCACCTGGTCTGAAAGTTTGTCTAAAAAATAAATATTGTACATGTCATACCAGTATTTTTTTTAAAAGGGGGCCATTAGACCTTAGTTTATGTTGGAATTGTGAACATCCATACAACATTTGTCATGTTCCGCTGCTTTTGCCCTTTGAGGTATGTGGCCTCCTCAGAGCCTACATTAGCTGAATGTCTTTGAACATGACCTACAGTGTTGTACCATGGACCCCCGCTGCTGGCTTTGTCGTCCCACATTCTCAGGGACTCCTAATCCCCTCTGACAGGCCCGCTGTAGGGACCAATGAGCAACATGGTGCAATCCCAGCAAAACCAGTGTACACAGCAGCTCAGCTATCAATTTCAGACACATTTCTGCAATCAAGGACAAACTATTGCATGTATAAGCTTTAATAATACGTCTCATTGCGAAAAAGTATAACAACACTTCACCTCACTGTGTTGGGGTCACGGAATCTAAAGTCTAAATGATCAAATGAAATGCAATGTGTCGGTCTACAAAGGTCATAAACATTTTTCCTTATGCATTTTAGTTAATACTTCTGTCTTAAAGGGCAGACGCAGCGGTTGGATTAGTCACTTTCTTTTTCGGAGAGCGCTGTGGAAAATCTGGTTAGCATGAGTGTGGCATGGTGTGAAATCAAAGAGGGCACTCACCTACGCACAACCTGTCTTATAAATCTCACGTTCACACCACAGTCCCCAGAACGCCACCTGGACCCGGGCCCTGCTCAGTCCAGCATGTGGGCAAAGGTGCAAACCACTCACACTCAGCCAGCAGATTCACAAGCAACCAGACACGAAACAGACGAGCCAAAACAGCACAAACACACCACCTGTCCCTCAGCTCCCCCAAAAACACAAATGCTGCCCAACACCCTGATTAGATTATTCATTTTATAGTTATTTATCAGGACAATTTTCAGTTACATTACACAGAAAGCAGCGGTGCTCGTACTAGCATGTAGTTTAATTTCCCATTTCTAGCTGTTGTCCATTTTGAATTAGTAACTGTATTGTTTATTTGTTTTGTGTCTGAAAGCTGTACATTACTGAAATGTAATTGAAAGCGGAGTACAGTACACTCTGATGTCCACTTGAAATTCTGGTGAATAAAGACAATATTATTTTTGTAATACGTTATAACTCACTGTAGAACTCCAGCGTCCTCAAAAACCAATGGACCATATGGACTTGAGTCGCAATCTTGTCAGAGGGAAAGTTTCATAAATGGCTGAAGAAGTAATCCCTCACACACAGAGCTTTGAGGACAGCTCATTCTCTTGGCAGCATTTTAGAGATCTGCCACTGTCACCGGCCTCTGCTCACCAAACATGGCATCTGCCTGGCATATGGGAGCCCTGTAGGGTCATCCAGACATGTCCGCGGCCACCCGCCGCCTTCTGCCACCACAAGTCCCCTAGAAACACTTGATTCCCTCAGAGATCTTGTTATTCTTACATAAATCATGTGTAAAATGTATTTTTTTTGTTTAGCTTTAATTCAGTCATTTATTTCAGTTTGAAGAAAACGTGATCTTTTTCTCTCACAACTTTTCTCCAGATGGAGCTTTGCTTCTGTCAAGGGTGTAAATGAGCTATTATGTCTCACTACAGGAGTCTTTAGAGGAGATATAATGGCAGCATCCGGTGTAGGAAAGATGAAGTGAGTTGAAGCTGTCAACTGCACTCTGATTGGCTGTTGGGTTCTTGCACATCTCACGCAATAGAGAGTTGGAGAGATCCAAAAGGCGCCCCTCTGACCGGATAACAAGAGGGCTCACCCTGTGAGCTGCAGCTTGACAGCCCATCATCTACATTGTTCTGTAGTACTCTCCAGTCTCTGCACAACCGGGCCTCACATGCCAAAGCTTTGGAAAGGCTTATATTCTGAGGGAATATATGTTGTAGTTACTCGCTTTCACACAAATGCAATTTCTGTCCTTTGTGTTCAACTGTTATGAAATCCACTTGAGGAGATGTAACACCTCGCTCCTACATGTCTCTAATTTTTACCGCCAGCTCTCTGAATGTTGAGAGAGCAAACGCAGGGTGCAGACTGCTGCAGGCACTCAAACTTTCCAATAAAGTCCAAATGGCATCACTGGCCTTTTGTGCGTGTGAATTATCGTCTGCTGGCGTCTCCATATGGTGACATCTGCCTAATGGGACTGAGATGGCATATTGAAACACCTTCTAAAAAAAAAGTGTCCTTTTATTTGGTTCTGATAGATGACTTGTGCAACTATGATTTCATGTGCATTTGTTTGAACAGAGTGGCTCTTCTGTACCATCCAGCCACAGCTCTGCCTGCGGAGCCATGTGCAGTGTAGCAATCTAATCCATGTACCGGCATTTGCCAACACAGCAATCAAATTTTACTGTCTTTTCCAAGTGAACAACTTTACACTTTTTATGCTCACGTTAGGAGCTATAACATGCTCCCATCTCTGTGTGGAGTGAGAGGACAAATTCCCACAATTGTAAATCGCTTTGTGACTCTGGTTTGTGTGAAAGGCGGTATATAAATAAAGATTACTTACTTACTTACTTGCTTATTTACTTAATTTACAAACTAAAACATATGAAAACTGTGATGAATACCTGATCAATATTTGACCATCAAGAAGAATATTGCACTGTTTAAAGTTACGTTTCAAAATGTTAAAGGAGAAAGATCAAGAGTTCTACGACCACTGTCCGAATACCTATAATTTAAATAGATGGAATGACTAGATCTATTCCTGTAGAACACTTCAGAATGTGATGAAGATAACCCTAACCCTCTTTCTGGAACCGATTTGAATGGCGACCCAAATGGGCAATGTTGTGACGTTGAATGATCCGTCAGTTTTGTTTTTAAAGAACAAATGCCATTTTTAGTGACTCTTGAAACTTGGATAATTTATTGTAATGCCTCATAAGGAAAATGTTCTCAAGAAAACAACCATATCATTTACTTTATTCTAAAATGTAAACCCAAGATTTTTTTTGGTTTTTTTCTGTTTAAAGCTATACATAATTAGCCCATCCTTTAACTTTGACCCAGTTTTGGTTCAATCCAAACATACTGTGTCTGAACTAGTTTTATTCACACACAAAAATCTAATTTAGTCTAAATATCTTCATTATTAAAAAAATGCATAAACATATCCACATGCAAAGATGATCTTTCACTTGGCCCCCGACCAAAATGACTGATAATCCTGTCATAGACCTTCATTCTCACAGATGCTCTCTAGGTAAAGGTAAAGGTGCACTTTATTAATCCCCGTAGGGCAACTCATCCTCTGCATTTGACCCATCCTGATGGCGCTAAGGCTTACGTCAGGAGCAGTGGTTGCCGTAGTAACAGCGCCTGGGTGGGAACCCATCTCCAGATGTTGATGCTCGACTTGGGTCAGGACTACCGGAGCTGGAGATTTTTACCTAGTGTTCACGTTTTTATTGGTAGGGGAAACCGGAGTACCCGTAAGAAACCTTCGCAAGCACGGGGAGAACATGCAAACTCCACTCAGAAAGACCCTGTTCCGACCGGGATTCGAACCCAGTCGGCCTTAATTTAGGTGTTGTCTCCTGTCTTCTGATCCTCCACCGCAGCCTCAGAGACATATTTCAGGGTCCACAACATTTTTTTGTTCCCCTCTCGATCCATTCAGTAAATCTGCATTCAACCTTAGCAGCAATGGTGCGTTGCGAGAGGCCTTGGTGATGCAGATCGATCAAAACCCCAACCACGTTCAATATGGGAAATCTTCATGGCTTTTTGTTATAAGGAGGTCATGAAGGTGTGAATGTCTCAGAGACGGCTTTAAAAGGCATTGGTCCAAAACATTTAATCATAAACTTTCAATGCCAATGTTTTCAATAAATTGCTAATTCATTTTGTGTTACTCCATGATACTGATTCTTATTTCCCCCTCCCCAGGTAACAGAGTACCTGAATAGTCAAGAATCTGCAAAGAGTGCCAGGGTAAGACACTTTGTCTATTCTTTCTTCCTGTCATTTTCTGTAATACATACTCAATAAATATCTGGCTTGCAGCTGTAGTACTTAAACAATTACCCAAGTGTGTATTCAACTTTGTCTTTACTTTCCATTCTCCTCTTTCTCTATCCTCTTCTCCCACACATAACTTTGGCAGTCAGCATTGTCCCAGATGGACTGTTGCCCACAGTCTACAGGTTCTCTGAGGAAATTAGGGAATGTGGATGTGTTCAAGTATACAGAAGGGATGGGAGAACACACAATAACACTACACATATTTCACAATGATGGTCAACGCTAGCTCGGGGAACTTTGACTCAGGGGCTTGCAAGCTTTGCCCTGTTGAAATGACCACGTTAGAACTAATTGGACGATTGAAAACCATTGCAGTACTCTCTGAATAACATGTCCACATGCACAGAATCAATACTGGATATCATGGCGGATTCTTAACCACTGTTGGAAAGGGAGTGAAAGCTGAAACCCTGGAGCTCATGGACAAGATTGGTCCTATTTAGTGTCGACGCATGTAAACATCAACTGCGGAGCGACTACGTTCATGCTCTTAGGCTGTTTGTGCCGTGAGTCAATCAGATGGACCAGGCTAATCGCAGGTGTACTTACTGTCTGCTCCTGTGGCAGGCACAACAACCAGCAAAGAAAAAAAACCTCCCAAGTACTGAACAGGAAATGGAAACGCATACACGCCGCTCTATTCATCCTAATAACAAGCGCTAATTACCACACTCGCTAATTAGCTATGAATCACGGCATTAACGGCAGAGCTGCATGCTTCTGAGTGCCAAAAAGAAGGCTCCCACACAGACCCTCCTTGTACAATCACACGCCGCTCAGATGCTCACTTTCTTTCACATTCAAATCGGCGTCACCTTAGTGGCGCACACAGAGCCAAGGGCGTCGTGATGAAAGCTGCATTTAGCGGGAAATGTATGATGGTTTATGAGGCGACGCAGTGTGTGAAAGGATGGAATGGGAGAAGTAATAGACTGGGTGGCGTTTTGAGGCAGTGTGAGCCTGCAGCTTGGATGGGCAAGCACAATTGAGCCAATTATGATGTGGCCACCTCTATATAGCTCTGGATATGTCTACATTAACTCTGCGCTTGTTTTTACCAGTGGGGGTGGGTCCCGGCTCAAAAGGGTCCGTGAGCGTGTGCGTTGACATGCTTGTAATCTGGCTTGTTGCTGGTGGTTGTGTACCCGGAAACAGAATTATCCATTTATTATCCAGGAATTCTTACGATGCCTCCATAAGCCCGCTCTTGGCCCAACTAGATTCTGTCAATCAATGCTGAGGGTAGTTTTTTTTTTTCTTTTTTGGACCAGCCTAGTTTAGCCGCTGTGGACTTTCGAATGCACTTGTTTAGACACACACACCTCTATGAAATCTAATTGTTATTGTACCAGTTTATGTGTACTTGTACAAAATATCCCAAAATGCAATACATCAGAGTCTCCGCCAAACTTGATTTCTGAACCATTTCCCATATTAATATTTTTGCTTCCTGGATACTGGTAAAGAATTAGCTCTTGGCCCAACGCCCCAATTATCCATTATTATCCATGTTTCTTACGACGCCTCATTTCCTCTCAAAAACTGCTTTACAGCCTGATCCAAAAGTCCGCTCTTGGCCCAATGCTATGTTCTAGATGCAGTCAATGCTGAGGGTAGTTTTTGAACCAACCTAGCTTAGCCGCTGTGGACTTTTAAATACACTTGTTAAATGAAATGGGCGTTTTTTTTTTCTCGTTTTTTTCCTGTGGGATGAACCACCTCACGGCCAGTTATAGAAAGACTGCAGTAGGGAAAAGTTATGTCACATAAGTTTCAACGGCGGAGATGGGCGTCACTACGTCCGTTGATATTTACAGCCTATGGTTTTTACTTGTAGATGCCTTTTTGTTCCATTCAGTGTTCTAAAATACTGTCCTTTCTCTCCATCCAGCTCAACATTTGGCGCTACGGAGACTTCCGCGCCGATGATGCTGACGAGTTTGGTTATCGCCGCTAATTTCATCTTAAGGAAGACCATCCTGTCAACATCATTCCAAAGACTAACATGGACAAATCTTAACCACAAACATTCTGTCTCAATTTTACTTAGTTAGTTTCAGTCCTTCAGTACTTGTGTCTTCTTTTTTCTCTCTATGATTCTAAAAAGTGAAATGAACACACAGGAAAATTGTTGTTCTTGATCTTGTTCTCACCATATAGCCACTGCCAGCTCAACCAGCCTACAGTTTTGCCAATCCTTTTTATTTGCCATGTTATGTTTCTGCAGACTTCTTGTAAGATTCTCTGATGTTGATACAGTCATGTTCTGTGCTCTTTTAATCACTGCTTTCCACAGTACAGTGAGGGGCTGTCTCTCTCTAAACAAAACATTGCTTCCCGTAAAAATAACCTGTAAATGTGCAGATATGTCCGAACGACGTGTAAATGGATTCTTTGACAAAAGTAGCTTATTTTTGTCACTGGAGCATATCTGTGTGTCCGTGTGATAGACGTTTGCAGTTGTCTTGTGAGAAGGGTTTTTGCTTTTTCACAATCCCCATTTTTATGACCCTAACTCTAGATGCCATCATTTGTTATTTTATCTCAACACCTGAAGCAAAGTTTACATTCTAATGTTATAATCATGTCTTTGGCAGTTTCTTGTCTCTCTTTGCCATAGAAAAAACAGTGTTTGAATTTGTTTCCTTATAATGGACCTTTGCATTCTATTAAATCTGCTAAATAAATACAAGCAAATTAAATATTTGTCTCTTGTTATTGTTTCACATATCGTCAACAAATTCTGTTTTGGAGAAAGGCACCAATACAATAAACAACTACATATTATCAACCCTACCCTGCATCCAGAGGTTTTGATACATTTTAATATGGCTGCGCTAAGCGGCAATCACACACACGTCATGTTTCAATGAAAAAAGTGCAATGCATTCATTCTCCACGCTGCCTTGACAGTCACAGCGCACGCACACACACACTCTATGAAATCTAACTTATCATTGTACCAATTTATGTGTACTAGCACAAAATAACCCAAGATGCAATACATCAGAGTCCTGAATGCAGTAGCACAAAACAGATTTCTGAACCATTTCCCACATTAATATCTTGACTTCTTGGTGTAATAAACCAAACGCGATGTATACGCTGCAGCTCTACACTTGCATTGTATAGGCCAACATACATATTGTACATACTGTAATGTACAGTTAGTTAAATAATTGAAAATTGTATCAAACAACTATTGAATTAATGAACACATTCAAGTCAAGAGTCACGTCCTCAAGAAAGCATGACAGATTCTATCACACTACACAGATTAAAAGTAATCTGATTTCTCTTGTTTCTAAGTGAGAAGAACCGAGATCCATAAGAACCCTTCATAACATTTTTGTGTTCTCTTCTCAACCTCAAAAAAAACTCACTATCCACTACCAATTTTCTAGTAAGTAAGTAAGTAAGTTTTTATTTATATACCGCCTTTTCACTGCAGATCTGAGTCTCAAAGCGGTTTACAATTGTTAATTTTGGGCATTTGTCTCTCACTCCACACAGAGATGGGAGCGGGGTCGCCAGTACAGGAGGCGCATGCTAGAACTATTGGACATATTTTTAGTGGTAGGGGAAACCGGAGTACCCGGAGGAAACCTACGCAGACACGGGGAGAACATGCAAACTCCACTCAGAAAGGCCCTGGTCTGACTGGGATTCGAACCCAGGACCTTCTTGCTGAGAGGCGAGAGTGCTATCCACTCAGCCACCGTGCCGCCCTACATTAATTCTCCTCTGAAGATGGCCACCAGTATTGCCACAGCAACAGAACTCTCTCCATGGCTTTATGGCCCTGACATCTCAAGTGCATCTCTATGGATACATTGCTCAGCCCAATCTGACAAATTATAAAATTCCACTGCAGAAAATGTTTACTGCCTGGTCAATGTAGAGTTATTATCCAACACATACTTATTATTCATACCAGAACACATGACTATGAATTGTTTTGGAAAGAGGTCTAAAAAGACTGCGTGCATTAACACTCTTGAGGTCCAGCTGATAGCAGCAGTGGAAGAAAACTATCTGCTAGAGGCGGTCCAGAGTGAGAAGGAGCAGAGGAGGTCAGAGCTCAACGAGATGAGAACGCAAGACTGCAGGAGCAAATATCTTCGAACTCTGGAGAAGTCTTTACAGCAGTGGACTCCAACAGGTCTATCCGCAGCACAAACTGGACACAACCATCATGAAGGACACAACTTTCCAAGAGTCTTTGGCAAAGACGACAGGAGAGCTGCAGATGGCAAAGTTCCAAATCCAGGCCTTAAAAGTGACTGCTCAGAGGTCAGCAGAACAGGCTGAGAAGTACAAGGCCATCGCCCAAACTTACCAGACGAGAAACAGGCCATTTTTGAAAATGTTCAGCTGTTTAAACAGTCAATAGCAACTTTAGAGAAGAGGAAGTCATTTGCCATTTCATACAACAATGTGACAGATCTGAGCATTCAAATCGAACACCTTAAAAACCAAGTGACTGGGACCAAGAAGGAACGAGCCCCAAAGTCAAGGTGGAAAACTCTTTGTTTTTCAAACCTGGAAAACAAGTCCACAAAGCAGGACCTTACATCCCTTGTGCAATCCTACGACACTGTTGAGGAGCCACAACATGATGCAGCTATACATATCAGACAGATGCAAAATATAAATGGTTTGTTTGAGCAAAGTCTGCTCCCATTACAGAAAAACCACAAGCTTGAGACTGTGAGGGAGAGGTGACCAGTGTGTGGCGGAGCTTACATGGACTTCTAGACAGCAGCTGCGAAGGCAGATACTGCAGAAGGACCAGGTCAAACCTGACCACGGAGAGTGTCCAGGTCCAAGCCTGGACAGAGCCAGACAAAAAAGTGACACAGACGTAGCCAATAGACTTTGAAACTGTTAACTTCAGAAGGCATTTCCTCTGCCTTTTGCCTTAAACTTCAAACACACTTGGTCTTTGGCTCTTATCCAAATAAAGAAAATAAAAACTACCTCCCTTGAGTGATAAAAAAAAAAAGTGTTCTAAATGTTCTTAGTAATTATTCTTTTCTGACACACTGGGGTCAGCAGGCCACCCGCTACCAAAATTAGAATAACACACGACAAAACAACTAAACAAGGATGAGTACAATAACCGCAATCATGAAACATAATATGATAGCCTTTAAACATAACTAAGCTTAATTACCAACACACTCTTTTGTCACGTTTGCTAAATGTAAATTATGAACTGTTGGTGGTGATCAGTTAAACATGGGAGTCGTCTGGGATCAACCGTGTAGTTTCTCTACCACAATGCAGAATATGAGGTAAAAGCAAATACTAAGCACTAGTTTTCACATTTGTAATCAAAATGTGAACTCCTGAGGAACGCTACAAAAAAGATATGGAAACCAGTGTTTTCTCTTGAAATTAAACCCTTCAAAATGATGTCCGGAGGATGTTTTTGCAAATCGCCTTGGAAGAGTGTGACCAACACTGAAAGAGCTGCTTAATATTCAAACAGTGTTTGAAAATGACTTCCACCTCCCAGATATGTTTTTCAATTAGACATGGGAGCAGTTTGTTGTGCGCTGTGTGCCTGATAGATGACACGTAGTGGCTCTGGCCTGATTACAGACCCATCCAGACCGTGGGCAACAAGATTACTTTTCAAACTATGAGAGCTATGTTCAAAACAACGCTGACATTGGTCTGGCACTTTGGAGGGACGTTTTGCCCTTTCACTTCACATTCAATTTGCCTGTTGCAATCACTTAGAGAAACATGCTTATTATTGTTTTTCTGCTTTTTCTTTGCATTAGAGGTGCATTATGTAACTTACAGCAAATGCCACTCTTCATTCTCATAACCCTACAGTAAGTGCCAAGCAGCAGTCAGATGCCTCCAAATCAAAGATGGCCAGAGCAATTTATCACTGGTGTTCATGTCCAATTACCAGAGGTGGGATGAGAGATATGCTCTAAGGGCAATTAAGAATCCTGTCTGCGCTGTCAGCTCAGTCATGGGCTTAGCAGACAACTTTGTCTTTGCCATGTACGCCCTAACTATTCATTCTCTCCATTTCCGCTCCTTTTCCTGAGGACATTACTCTCCATGTTTTACCACAACTGAACAGGCCTGGCTCCAACATTTTACGCACAGTTTCTGCTTTTAGAAATGTATTATATTCGCCGGAGCTATGTTTTTAAAGATATCAAGTTTGAAATCATACTTTCTATGAGAAGTGTGACCCACACACAGATTCCATTTCATCCATTTAGATGGACGATCCCATGTCAGGTGTGGAATTTTGAGAGAGAAAACTACCAATTTAGCGTTTTTTCAAGAAAAACTGTCTACTGTTTATTTTCTAAAATAAACAGTAGGCAGTTTTGAACTGGTGGGTTTTCAGCAGGAATTTCTGAAATGAGTCTCTGATGTGCTGTGGCAGAGAGTTTGATAGAGTGGGGTTATTGATGGTAAAGTGACAAAACCTTTAGTGGCTGTTTGACAAAATATAAACTACAGTAAACTAATCAGTGCAAATCCCATGACGTGACCCCAGACTAGAGAAGGAGTCTGCTGACCAAGAGCTGGAATCTGGAGCCAAATTTGTGTCTGCAACGACCTGGCAACCAAAGAGCCAATCAGCAGCAGAGCTTGCGTTACTCAACCTGAAACCCTAATTTGAAGACAGAAAGCATTTGATTGGGCACATGTTTTGAATTACAAAGAAAATGTCAAAATAAAGCCGCAAGCGGTGATGAAAGCCCGCGCCACCTGTGGGACTCACATCACTAACATTAGTGATGTGAGTCTGATCTCTGTAGGTCTGAGCCTGTGGGCCTGAGGGCTCAGCCAAAACACCCAAAACAAAGGGCTTATTCAAAAACGGTGAAGAATTTCCAATATCATCCAGCCAGCGTTTAGGTGTTTAACAGGAACACCCCCTTCAAATACAGAAACGCCTCCTCCTTCTTATTTGCT